CTCAAAACTTGTGTGAGCTAAGGACTAACGAGGGCTTACCTTTTAACGTGATTCCTAACACGGGTTGGACGATAGCAAGTGAAAATCGAGCGATCAGCCTGGGGCTTAAACCATCGACACACACATCGGCCGATTGACTGAGTGAACAAAGCACCCATGTCGAACCGCCCGGCTACCGACAGGTAATTGGTGACCAGTTACCGAGAGACATTACTGAATCCCTTCAAGACTCAAGTACTGTAGTTTGACTTCAAGTTCAAAAAAAATCATATTTGCAGTGTCATGTCACTGTCAGCAACGACAACATAGCTGATGATGATAAGGATAATGACTCGAATAGACAATATCATGATTGGGCTGATGATGAAAATTCCAATGATCATGACGACGATTACGATGATTGAAAGATAAATAAATAATTTCTTCGTTTGTTTGAAGATGGTTGACAATGTTTCATGGTGCATTTCATTAGTCATCACTCGAAGACGATTGTGGATACTAACAATCGAAACATCGTAAAGTTACTTGGCTTGAAATCTTTTAATTTTCATTTTTTTTTATTTTAATTTTTTATTTCTTGTTTATTGTTTAATTTTCAATTATTGCTTGTAATTATTTCATTTAATTTCAATTCAGGGTTTTTACTTAATATAATTGTTATTTTCAGCTATTCTTTTTTTTTTTTTATTGACTCCTTCAGGTATCTCAAATCATTTTATATCATATTAGACGATGGAGTCCGAACTAATGAAATAAATATTTTCTTCACTTAATCATAGTTGAAAATTTTTTATTTATAAAATGATTTTCGTTTCAATTGTTCCAAGTGGTACCTTTTTATAATAAAATGAAAAATTTGTTATGAAATATTGCCTTTGAAACTGTGACCTGTGTTTAGAATTCTCAAATTAAGTATTCTGTGATTCTCCAACCGTAAAACGTCTCTGTTTTCAATGGGAGATTCAAGAATTATCGGCTTCTTTTTTCGCAAGAACAGCTTCCTTATTATCTTTGATTTCCTTATGACCTTATGAATTGCACTAACATTGATGATGGTGTCATCGTTGCATCATGCACATAAAATGCCTTTCTTCTCCAAAGATAGTGGAGTGGTTTCAAGGGGTTAGGGGATCTCGAACTTTGGCTAACTTTTGGAACCGTACCTTTTCATCTGCTGCACGTCCTTTGTATCTGTAGAGTAGGGAAGATGAGTGTAGACCCACAGCACTTAGGCCACATGTGACCCATTGTACATCCTCCCGAGGAGTCAACGTGCATTCTGTCCTTTCCAGGAAGGTGGACAGGTCACTAGGAGACATCTCCTTTATATTGGCAAGTGTAGGCCAAGACTCGCCGAACACACACTCTCTTTTGCAACCTTGAGGTGTCTCACGGTGGCCTCCGTGAAGGTTTTGGAAGGTGCAGCGACATTACTGTCGTTGCGCGGCTTCTTCAACCTTCTTGGGTTTCCCTCCGTGGAGTTGCAGAAGTGTGGGAGCTTTCCTGCAGAGGCAGCCGGTTCCTTGCCTTTATTTAAGGCGGTGTTGGAGGTGGAGTGGGAGAGAAGGAAGGCGTACTTATAGTTGCTGCCACTCCTACCTCTTTCGCTCCTTTCTCCATTTGGCCTCGGCGCCGCAAATGCGCTAACGCCTTGGTCTTTGTAGTACATCATCAGGTGATCTGATATGTCCAGCCTCATTCCAAGCGGTAGATTGTGGTGGACATTTCTGTTCATTCCCAGCCACCTCCTTAGTTTTTGTTTTTCTTGTTTCTGTTTTTGTGTTTGTTTCATTCATGTGTTCCCACGATTAGCAAGGAAAGAGTTGGTCACATCTGGCAGAGCCCCGCATTACCAAAGGTAGGCTGATTACAATGAGGTTTCGCCCAGTTCCCCAAGGGGATCATTCTTAACCGCATATTACCCTGCGTCCATTCAGCTCTCGGCATGATTCCTTACACCTTAGCTTATGTAGGCTGGTCCGTGGTGGCATGTTTTGCAAAGGCTTTTGGAGGGTTTTAGTTCCCTTTACCCTACTTATTTCTGCCACTGACCAGGAGTCCGGCGACCCTGTCCGTAAGGCTACATTGGCTTCCCGGACAGGGCCTTAAGTCCGTTCCCCTATCCGCCACCTAGGGACGCGCCCGATAGGTAGCCTAACCCACGGGTGCTGCACGTCTTATTCGAAAGCAGTTCCATCGTATGAAGATTATTCACTACACTGATATCTTGGTTTGTGATAGCTGTTTGGTGAATTCTGAAATCAATTATTGCTACTGTTGCTCTGAAACGCGAAAATGTAATGGTAGAATCAGCATTTATTGTGATGCACTGTTTGGAACCTTTGATATAGTAATGAATATTACTGGAGTTTATTCGAAAGCTGACAAAGGTAACGAAGTAGTAATTATGGATAAATCGGACTACTACAAAAGGGTCAATACTCTCATTACTAACGGACCGTATGCGAAATTGTCCAAGAACCCGTTACCAAAGATGATTGCCGAAGTGAAAGACGTCCTCAAGAAATGCGACAACATACTAACCCCTCAACTGAAACGGAACTTACAAGTTTCCAACCCAACGGTGTCAAAACTATATTGCCTCCCAAAAATCCACAAACCGGGAAAATCAATGCGTGTCAGCTATTGGATCTCCTACCTACCAAATAGCAGAATGGCTCACTAAGGAATTTGAAGGCTTGTCTTCTGCGGAAACAGGTCTTACTATAAAAAACTCTTTAGAGTTCATACAACTTACAAAAAAAAATCGTTCTACAAGAAGGTGAGATTTTGGTTTCCTTTGATGTCAGTTTCTTATTTCGTAGCGTCCCAATTCCACAGATCTTACATTACCTCAGGGAATTACTAGAGAAAAATGATTTCAATAATAACGAAATTGATGAATAAGTTTCTCTCACTAATTTGTGTATGAAAAAAAACCATTTCCAGGTAGAAGGTTGCTTTTATGAACAACAAGAGGGAACGGCTATGGGTAACCCCTTGTATTTTCCTCGGAGGATATGGCTAAGGTATGTGGATGATGTTTTCGCGATATTCGATAACAAAAAATCGAATATTGAAGATTTTCCTTTTTAAATAATAGATTTTCAACAATAAAACTCACGTATGAGTTAGAAAATAAAGGACAACTTCCATTTCTTGATGTTTTGGTAATGAGGAGCCAATATGGAGGATTAGGTTAGGTTAGGTGAGAGGTTCGCAAAAGAAAAACGTGCAATACAGGAAAAAGCAGCCACTAACGGTTTCTCGAGGGGTATTGTAGATGACATAATAAGGAAGAAGTATAGAACAAAACAACCAAGATAAGTATATCTCAGTTCCATACTACCAATATACGAAAGTTATAAAGATTTTCAAGGAACTAGGTATGAAGTTATACACTACAGAGCCTTTCAGGAAGTCCAAAAGACGAAGTCGAGAATTCGGAAAAGTCTGGAATTTACGAAATTAAGTGTACGAACTGCGATGCAGACAAGAAGCTCTATTAAAATAAGATACAAGGAACACTTAGCACACTTAAAGACCTGAAAAATCAGCAGTTGCCTATCACATTTTGCAAAATAACCATTCCATAGACTTCAGTTCATTAAGATTAGTTAGACACGTTAACAACAACAAGAATCTAGATGCCTATGAGAGTGTAGAAATAAACATAATAATATTATGAATAATGAAGGTGGACCAATACCTAATAGCTTGGTAAAATAATATTTCAATTATTAAATTTACCTAACTATTACAACATTGTAAAATTAATTTTTAGACAAGTAGATAGGGCAATATTGTGAAATTTATTTTATGTAGCTTATAATATTTCAATTATTAGATTTACCTAACTATTACTTAAGGACACATTGTGAAATTTATTTAATGCTAGTAGATAAGGCAATATGTAAAATTAATGTTTATATAGCTCATAATATTTCCATTATTAGATTTACCTGACTATTACACAAGGACACATTGTAAAATTAATTTAAGACACTCAAGACGCAGGTACCTAGAACAGGTATCTATGGTACAAATAAGGATAGCTTTTGTAAGTATGATTAGTTTGATCTTCCTCTTGAAGATAATCACTTGGTGATCGAAACACCTATCGAGGTGTTGAAATAACGGTTTGGTGTTGGGAAAAAACTCCAGTAATATTAATCGGCATTAAGTCTGGAACTTTACAGGGCCGCGTGGATTCCATGCTGTTTTTTGTTACCACAGATTTGATGATGGTCTACTCGTAGTTCAACCAGTAGATCTTTATTGATTGTGTGTCTTACGACTTTCCAAATACTCTAGATATAATTGTTGTCAGTTTCGGTAGATTATCAAGCCTGAGTATTTTGGTTCCATTATAAAATAAGAGAAATGAGACAATAATTGACAATGTTAAATTTAGCGGCGATTAGGGAAGGGTAGATCAATCAATGAATAATAAAACAACTAACAAATGTTTATTTCAAACAAATTATTCAAAAATGTTGTTAGCTTATATTTACTTCATTTTTATTACTATTCAGTTAACTGCTCATTCTTTTCTACTCTCAGTAGTACTATATTTTATTGAACAAACAAAATTGTAGATTTTGAAATAATGAAAAATATTCTCACCAATTTTTGTTGAATTATTGTCAGAAAATGAAATGAATTTTTGTGTTATTAAAATCTTTTTTTTTCAGGCGAATTTATTCATCTATATGAAATATTGGTAGATGTGAGTTGAAACTATGTTACTAAATAATACCGATTTTGGTCAAATCTGATCCCTAATCATTTTACCATTTTATAACATTATTGACAACAGCGAACCGTACAGTAAAGATGTTAGGAATCATTTGGTTTCATTGAAGTAAAAATAGAGGTAGTTTATTCAACAATATACCTTCCTATGGATATGTGTATTGTTCCATGTTATCATTATATATGTATGAAATAGGTAAATGAATCAACTTTCTAAATTTAGGTAGCTGATATACACACATTATTTAAAAACTAGTTGCAGCTAAAAACTGACAAGGAAAAGTACTATTATATACAATATTTCCTGTGCTGTACATCTCTCCTTCCAAAATCTGATCAATTCTATCGACACATTCACAATCTAAAGGATTGTCCAAGAGGTACACTTCTTTATTAGTAGTAGTTTCTTCAATAACTTCATCCGGAATACAAGAAAACTGATTTTTATTGAGATATACCTTACTGTCTTCTTTCACCACATGTAATAAATCGGTTAGTGTACTGATTAAATTGTTCTCCAAATGTAGATGTACCGGGTTGTTCATTTCAAATGCTGAAGCGTCCACTTCATTAATTTGGTTGCTGTTGAGATATATAATGACAGGATCTTCGTTATCAGGCCTCAAATCTTGGAAAGATGTTTTAACAATTTTTTTGATTAAATTGAATCCAAAGTTGACTGTTTTTATTTTCGGACATGCGCTAAATAAGTTGCCACTGACTTCCACTATTTCATTTCTATCCAAGTATATATCTCGTAAATTTTTCATATTATGGAACACCCCACTTTCTATGTATGATATTCTGTTTCCTGATAAATACAAAACTTCCAACGAACCAAGGTTATCGAAAGATCCCTTAACTATCTCGGTGAGATTATTGATAGCTAGTGATAATGTCTGTAACACTGGAACCTTCTGGAAAGCGTTTGGTTGGATTTTGGATAAGTTGACGTTAATCAAAGAAAGTCCTTTCAAACTGGGAAAGTTTTTTATCATACCTTCACAAAGATCTGTCACGTTGGCGTTGAGTATATCGATCGTAACGTAAGTATCCAGAAGATAAAAATTTGTGTCGAACACGTTGAAACCTCTTTGACTTGTAGATTGGTGAACCGTAGCATTCACTACATTTAAAGCGTTTTTGTCCACACAGACTGAACTCACATTATTCGAGAAAAAAGTTAGAAAGCAAAATACAGCCAACACTAATTTAGTCATTTTATTTCGGAAGGTTATTGTTGTACTAGATAATAAATAATATTCAGATTCGAAGTAGAATTTTTGAAATATTTATCGAAAACATGATAAACTCCGACCTAGTTAGCTGAAATGTTTGTGTTTTTATGTTTTCATGCCAATGTTAGGTCTACGTGAATCAACAAAACAAATTTATAATTATACCGGGGAATAAGTTAGTAATGACTATACATAATATCTTATGATATACTGTTTGGTGTAGTAATGAATATTACTGGAGTTTTTTCCCATCACCAAATCGTTATTTTTAACACCTCGACACCTATTTCGATCACCAAGTGATCATCTTCAAAGAGGAAGATTAAAGCTAGGAACTAGTGCGAGCTAATCCTATTTATGCTATAAAGGTACCAACCATACAGGTATACCAACCTAAATTAATTTTACAATTTTGTCTTATCTATTATTTTACGATATATGTTTATATAAAACAATTTTTAACACCTCGGCACGTGTTTCGATCACCAAGTGATCATCTTCAAAGAGGAAGATTAAAGCCAAGGACTAGTGCGAGCTAATCCTATTTATTTTTGTGTTCTCTACTTCTTGTATGATGTTTATGGTTCATTTGATGTAATATGTGTGCTCATTTTTATGTAACTCTATGTTGCTATAGTGAAAGAAAAGATGTATTGGGTCTGATATTACAGTTTGTTGGTAAAGTTCATCCGACGGATGGGTTCTTTTTTTTTGTCTATGATTTTCAGGAAACGCTTTTGAGTTATTGACATTTTGTTCATGATTGTTTTACCTGTCGGCCTCCATGATGAAATTCCATAAGATATATGTTACTGAATAAGAACAGAATATATTGTTTTTAAAGTTTTTTTTCCGATGTAAAGTTATCAGTGTTCAGACTTCATGGTTGATATGTTGATTCCATTACGAAATAATGATGAAAGAAAGAGACAAAGCTCTTGCAAAATTCAAAATTTCAAAATCAGAAGCTGACTGGGAACACTACAAAAGTTTGCGAAACTTCACGATATCATCTGTTCGTCGCGAGAAGAAGGCTTATTATGACTATTTATTTCAATCTAAAGACTAAAAAATTATGGAAAAACCTAAAGGATATTAATAATACAAAAATTAATACTGATTTACCAATTCCCTTGCAAAATCCTGAAGAAATCAATAATTATTTTGCTTCAGTATTTATTGATGATGATATTGATAACAACCTCCTAGAATACTACAATAGTAATAAATATCCAAAATTAAAAAATCAAGAAAGTGTGTTCAAATTAAAATTCATCTCAGTTAATCAAATGAAAGAAGTCTTAGCTACTATCAAATCGAATGCCACTGGTTTTGATGGTTTATCCATCAATATGATTAACTATTGTAGTCCGTTTATAGATAATTTTCTCACTCATATTTTGAATTGTTGCTTAGAAAAATGTTATTTTCCTAATCTATGGAAAATTGCCATTGTCAGACCTTTGAGTAAAGTTTCGAACCCAGTGAACTACACTGACCTCCGTCCTATAAGNATATATATACAGAATATAAACAAAAATCTTATGTAACCTAAATTCAAATACGTAAATTTATCATTATAGAACTCTTGCAAATTATAATGGGGTCTATCAGCCAAAAATGTTTTTACTCTTAACCCCATAGTAATAAAGAGAATTCCTAGCCAAATTTGTTGAGGGAATTGTCAATTTCTGCACGGTGGAACGGGTGCTATAAGAATGGTGTGAGGCCTCAAATAGGGAGATATTTTTGTAAATGAGGCAAACCGTTTCCACAACAATAAGTAAAACAATCGCTGATAAAAGCATTTGCTCAACGAATTTGTATGTGCACGAATCACGAGGATCTTACACATATACCTTCTAGCCCGTTTCTGCAGTACACCCCAAAATGGTATTCCATAACGTAGGTAGGATTCAACGAGGGCGTAATATGCCGTTCTGGCAGTTTTGATTCCCAACTTTATTGAAGTTACTTTCACTGCATAATCCAGAACAAATTTTTTTTTCAATTTGTTTGGTATATTCAATAAATTTGAGCTTATTGTCAATGTGAATACCTAGAAATTTAGATTGGCTCTCGTTCTTGATCACTAAGTTATCACCAAATGACAGGTCATCATGAGCACATTTGAGTGATAAAATGTTTGTTTCAGTCATATTGAAGGATAGCAAATTAGCATCTCGCCACTCCTTGATTTTTTTCATATCAGTATATTACGTTGTGTAAATCATTTGAGTTTTTGTTGTTCCACAATATCGTCGTGTCATCGGCGAAAATAGTGAAATTTCCAGAAATGATCAAATTAAAAATGTCATTGACATGTAATAAGAATAAGATGGGTCCTAAAACTGATCCTTTAGGAACACCACACAAAATTTCCACAAAAGTCGTGTTGTTCTTACCATTTTATTCCTTCCAGATAGTTATTTTTAAACCATTTGAGCGTCATTTCTCTGCAGCCTGGTGAATTTTTCTTAGCAAGATCTCATGATCAACGGAATCAAACGCCTTAGAAAGATCACAAAAGACCGCAGCTGCTACACTACCAGAATTAAACTTTGAAAAAATATCATGAAGAAATGAAAAGATGGCATCGTGCGTATTTTTATTGCTTTGAAAACCAAACTGGCTTTCACTTGAGATATTGTGGTGTTGTAGGAAAACCGTCAGACGTCAGAAGTTTTTCGATAACTTTGGCTATAGTTGGAATGAGAGAGATCGGGTGAAGATTCGCGGAACCATCTGAATCTCCACCTTTATATAATGGAAGGACAACGGATGTTGTCAGAAAATCAGGAAAAATTCCATTGTGAAAAGAGGTGTTGATTAGAGGTATCAATGTTTGCAGTGCCTCAATTGGAAGATTTTAAATAATTTTTATGGAGATTCCATCATAACCAGTTGCATTTTCAATCTTTATATTCCTAGTACAAAGTTAAGTTATCCTCAATTCTGATATCATAAAGATTCAAAAAGGGATCGTAAGGTACCACTATATTCTCACTAAGGTTTTTTGCAATCGAACAATAATAATCATTGATTTCATCAGGACTAAGTGATATTCCCACATGTTTTTTTTATTTTCCCATAATATCACTGATAGCAGACCATGCTTCTTTCATTTTATTAGTTGACTCACCGATTTCGTTATCATAATGGATTTCCTTCGCTTTCTTAATAGTGGATCTATATATTCTGAGGTAGTTATTGAAGAAGTCATGAAAGTCAAAAGTTAAAAGTAAATTTTTGAGTGAGTCTGTATCTGTCGATTCCTCATTGTTATAATTTATGTTAAAACCACCAGTCAATAATATAGATGAGTTGACAGATAATTCAGATAATAAATAGCTTAGGTTATTAAAATATATATCTACATCAGCAGAAGATGAACAGTAAATACATAAAATGTACAGATTATTTTTTTGCTGTAGCAGACGGAAAACTCAAACGATTTGTCTTCGGACAAGTCTTTGAACTTGAACGAAAGTCAATTCACCAAGTTAATGAATCGAAGAGGTTTTGTATTAAAGTGTATAATATATTAAAATTCTTGCAAAGCGCTTTCGACTTTTGTCATCATCAGTGCTCACCTGAAAGTAAGTGATCTAATTGAAAAGGGAATTTAGTGAAATTGAAGTTGTAAAATTTTTTAAGGTTAAGAAATTTGGAAAAATTATCAATTTGTTAAGTAATTTTATGTTGAATATTTTTGAAAAACCATCAATAATATTCAAAAGAAAGATCTACACCTACTCAAATGAACACCTCAAGGGGCAATAAATATTTCTTCTTAAATAAGGGTTTGTTATCTTGATTATCAATAAGTAAAAATGTCGAAAACTGCATAACGTTGTGATTTAAAGATGAAAAATAAAAACTGACTGATTATAATAACGTTTTCTTTATTTTTTCCTCAAAACATAATCCTTATAAGGAAGTTTCGGTTTCGGCCGAAACTGAGACCGTTGCCGAAATTCGTTCTCGGTTTCGGTCTGACACTATATCAGAGTTATTCGAAATGGCATCGGTCATCTTATTGCTAGAAAAACCTACTTTGATCTCCTGGAATCTCACATCAGATATGCGATAGCATTTTGGGGAGCCTGCTCACAATTGTTTTCAATGATCTTTAATCTACAAAGAGAGCACTGAGATACATGTCATGTTAACCATCAAACTTCATGTAAATCCTTATTTATATCTCGAAGGATACTCACGCTAACGTCAATCTTCGTGTAAGAATCAATTAGTGTAGTTCATAAGTATAAACTGCATTTATTAAAATCAAGACACTGCACGTAATACATACTAGGGCAAATGGCCAATATCCAGCCTTATTAATTCCCATAATCACCCAATGCCAAAATTCAGGTAAGCTTTGATAAAAGCACTTTCATGTGCACAGATATTATCTTAAAAAAGACAGAAGTAACAAACAATTTCACTTATATTTCATTGCGACCTTTCGTATTATAGTTCGAGGTACTCCATCTACTTGCATGGAGAATGTTCGAATCGTATTTTGGTGTAAATTGTGAGGATACTATTTCACTGGCTCTTAATTCACCAATCCAGATCACATCGGCTAAAGTAAAAGCCTCAAGATGAAGTAGTTTACTTGCCCAACACGTATTTTCCGATATATTGGTCATCGAGCGGAGTCGTTAGAGGAAATTTATTAACAACCAATCAGGAGTGCTAGCCTGAAAAAAGTTCTGGGAATCCTTTTACAAGGAAATAAGAGAAAATAATATCATTGGAGTTGTCGAGTTTTTGAGTTCTCGTAATGAGAAAAAGGCCGTGAGTTTGCCAGATGAAAATAAAATCAATGAATGATGGAAAACTGGTACTTGAAATGATTGATGTTCAAAGTAATAATCTGAAAACATTCATCTAAATTACGTTGCGACTATATATATATATATATATATGGTCTGGATTCCTAGCCATACTATCCTGGAAGGCAGTGAGGCTGCTGA